CCAGACCTTCCAAGTTTGATAATCGGTAGACAGATGTACAGCCGCCTAGGCCACACACATGATGACTTCATTATCGCCCATCATTTGTTTGACCAGGGCCTGTTTCTCCTCCTCCATCAAGGACCTATACTTGGTCCGGAGTTGGGTCTCCTGGTTGCTCAACCGCCCTCGGAGTCTCTTGACCGTCTCCCCCAGGTTATACGCCTTGGATTCCTCCTCCTTGAGAGTGTCCAGCTTCTCTTCAAGACCCTTCACTTGGTCCTGGAGCCCCCTCACTCGCTGCTCGACCGCGTCCAAGTTCTACTGAACTTGCAGGTTGGCAGACGCCTAGGAATACAACATATCAAGTGTTAGCATCTCATTTTGAGCAATCTTAAACTGAGCTTTGTCCAGAGTAGAGGCAGCCCGAGCATTCGCTGCCTTTACCTCTCGAGTCTTCTCATTGAGGGGCCCTTTGATACCGCTCACGCGCGGCATAGCCTACAAGCGTCCAAACCAAAAAAACTCATCAGAAATCATTTGACAAAAATAGGTATATTAACCAAGTTATAAGAAGTTTTTCGCAAAGAAGCGCCAAAATGCCATCTAGGTCTAGGGTGTCGACCCCTCTGACGACATCCTTGTCCTCAAGATCAAGCATCCGGAGCATCCGCTTGGCCATATGGAGGACAGTTGGCCTCACTGAGGCATCTATCAATACAAATATAGCTAAGTCAAGATTTTGAGCAAGGTTACATTTGATGAAGCGCATGGTCAAATGGTCGGATGTCTTACCTCCTTCTCCCCCTGCCGCTTCGCTGCCGCCTGATGTGCCGCTAGCAGTGGTGAGTGGCTGTTTGCCACCCTTCGACACTCGTTGTGGAGTGTCCAGCTTTGTAGGAGTCTGAGTAGGGGAGGAGGCGCCCATTCCCTTCTTCGCAGGCTTGTTGGCGACATGCTTCCTTCGACTCTAGGAAACGTCGCTAGTCGATTGCTTGTGCAGTTTGGGATTCGGCTGAGAAGAAGGGACATGTTTTGATGACCCACTATGAAAATAATTCTAAGTATGAGTCTTAGAAACAGAATATGCTAAGCATTTCATTGAAAGAAACTTTGCAAGCTCGTTACCTTAGGAGTGCCGCCTGGCGGCTGCTCATCCGTCTGCTTGAGGTTAGAGCGGTAGAAGGTGGCTGAGAGGGCTGGCTTTTTGTGAGTAGGGAGCTTGGCCATTGCCTTGTCTGCAAAAAACAACAAAGAATTAACAAGGAAATATATGAACAAAGCAAGCAAAGTTAATAAAATCATGTGGCCAGCTACCTTTCGGCATCTCAGTACTAAGGCCGCAAGCGGCCAAGTACGTCTCGTCCAAGAGCCACTCGAATTGGGGAATATAGCTTTGGGGGGTGACTTTCTTAATCCCGTCTCGCTGTTCGTCCGGACGGCCACATTGAAGAGGCCCTAGTAAAAAATCTCCTCTTGTGCCCGCCTGGGAACAGGCGGAAGGGCTTTCTTCCCAACCAAGAGGCGTGGATACTGGGTCCAGCAGTTATAGCGCTTGTTTCTTTGGGAGTCTGGGGAAGAGACTATGTAAAATTTGGCCTTTATTCCTTCCATTTGTTTTCTTTCCCCAGCGTCATCATGTACCAGGTGTAGCTGGTCAAAGTAAACCAGCCGATCCCGCTTGGATTGGGAGTCCTGCTCAGATAATGCATGTGAGCAAACGCCTCGAAGCTGGGATCAACCTCCAACATCTCGCAGGCGGCAACGTAGCCCAAGATGTTGACCCAAGAGTTGAGGGCTAGTTTCCATATACCTAGCTAGTATCCGTCCAAAATCCTCTCCACAGCCTGATGGAGAGGAAAGCGAAGTCCTGCCTGGATGGCTGCCTCGTAGCATTCGAAGCATTGATCACCATAAACGGCCATCTCAAGCCAGGTGACCGTGTCAATAGCATCCGGCACGGACAGAAGAAAACCATGTCCCATGACATGGTCAGAAAGAAATTTGGGAATATCATCCTTCATGATCTTCCACTTGCCTTTGTGGACGTGCAGATAGTAAGATGCACGTTCGTGCCGCCTGGAAGCATACGACTCCACCCAGCCCTCTCCTTTCTCAATGGAGAGGGACTCTCTGGAAGCTTTAAGGTTCGACTGCGCCTCCTTCGAGTCAAGGGGGACATAGTTGGAAGATGATGACGCAGAGTCATCATCAGAGTTCTCTTCGGAGCTGGGGGCCTTCTGGCTGGTGCCAGCAGTGTCCTCCCCCAGCTCATCATCCGGCACCGATCCACTTGGCCCGGGGTTCTCATATTCCTCGTCGCACTCCTCCAAAAATGAGTCATTTGGAGTGCTGACGGTGCTAAGGGGTTCCCTACTTATCTCAGAGACAGGCGTCCTAATGGAGCCGTCAGAGAAGACAGTCTCACTGTCCGAATGGTACCAGGAACTATCCATCCTATATCTCCTTGTAGTTTTCTTTGTTCTGGCCATCGTGTCCTGTAGAGGCACATAAACTGTCGGATTTGGAGATGTACTTAAAAAAAAAGTTCTCGAACGAGCATTCGACACTCCTAGTTCTAGATTCAGCCATCCTCGGTGACTGGCTGATCGCTAATCTAGGCCGTGTTGGGTGAGTTTGGGAAACCATTTTTGATAAAGAAAAATGCAAAGAAATATGTAAAGAAGAGATCCGGTAGTTACCTTAGAAGAAGGTAACGAGAGACGTCGGTCTTGGGCGTCTGGTTCAGCAGGCGAACTAAGGGGGCCGAATGTCGGATGTTGTGGAAGTAAAAGTCTTTGAAAGTAAGAGATTCAAGATTCTCCTAAAGATTCACGCAAGTGTGAATCCAAGGAGAAGTCAACCTTCTATTTATAGAGGGGGTGAAAACCTGAGGTGAAAACCCTAGATTCCCCTCAACAATAAAAGTAAATAGTCGGCCAATCAGAGGCCGACACCTGTCACAAGCGTCAAGCACGTGACCCTTGTGAGGGGAAAATGTTTAAGGTATTTTATAACCGGCCAAGTGGCCCATCTAGATCCTGACATGTGTCACTAGAAGGAGCGCCACCTTGGACCTTCTAGATGGTGACACGTGTCAGGCAGATACTGCCCTTAATTTGGGGTATTTGATGATTCAAAGTGGACCAATAAGAGAGCAACACGTGTCACCCTAAGAGACGCCCAAATTCCTTCTTAGGATGAGCGACACGTGTCACTCAAATATCGCTTCTGAAATGGCGGCCTTCAAAGGCCCAAACTTTGAGGCGCCGTTTTGCGGCGTTCTCTAATCCCTAGGTCATCAAACCCTAAGAAGGGCACACTTCCCCAAAAGACCCTATAAATAGGGACAGTTTCCTCATTTATGGGGACAACGATATATTAATTATTGCAATTAATACTGAGCCGTCATTCTCAAGAAACAGACAGCACCTGAGCTTGGAATCCAAGCAGATAACTTAATTTCCGCACGTTTTACTCCGAACCCTATACTAACTTAATCATCGGAGGCGGACCACCGACCATCCGGCGGCCCGTTTGTTTTGCAGGTACAGGCGACCTTGTGAATCCAGTCTTGAGTTGTAACTCTCCCAAGGGCCTCAAAAAACCCCGAAACAAATATCATTCATGAACTTCCTAACATGATCATATAAACTATAGATAAAAAAGAGGGTCATTCTAACCACCGAGAAGGAATTACCTCGTGCTCATAGAGCTTGATAAGTCGTTCCTGTTGGGTTTGTAAAGTAATCAGGGTTGTCAGCCATTGCTCAAGCTGTAATTTCGGATTATAAACTTAACCCGAACTTGAACCACGCCCTCCTTGAGTTCTTTCCCTCTTAAATGCCATTTTTGAGTTTAGATTGTGGATAAAATTTGTTTAAAATTAAACAAAAGTGGTATAGAATCGTAGTCGGTGAAGAGAGGAGAAAGAATATGTAAAAAAATTTTTGATTTGGGAGAGAAATGGAGAGGAGATCTTAGAGAGAAGTTAGAGAAAATTTGAGTTTTAGAGAGAGAAAGTATGGAGGTTGAGAAAATCTGGAGGAAAGAAAGAAGAAAGAAGAAGAAAGAAAAAGAAGAAGAGAAAGGGTCGGGTGCCGCGCCCGGTTGGCGGGACCTCGCCCGATCGGGCGATCTAACATCTTTGTTTTTGCCGCTCTTGTGCCCGGTCGGGTGCCATCTTGCCTGATCGGGCGAGCTTTACCCTTTAATTTGTGTTGCCTTTGTGCCTGATCGGGCGGAGAAAATGTCCATTACCGTCAATTTTCTCGCCCGGTCGGGCAAAATTACTTATTTTTCAAACCTTTTTCTTGTGCCTGGTCGGTCTGGCAATTTTTTTCTTTTTGGGAATCTCCTCTCGCGCCTGGTCGGGCGTGATACAACATTAGGAGTCCGATTTTTTTTCTTCTTTTTGCTCCAAATTTGGCTAAATCTTTTTCTCCAAACATATACAAAAAATATAAAACACATTAAATTCCTTCTTCTCTCCTCTCACATAAGAAGTACAAAGAAAGAAGACTATTCTAAAAAACAAGAAAATTCGTATTGCCTCCCGCAAAGCGCTGGTTTATCCAGGTCCCACACGGCCTTCTTACTATATGTTAATCAGGATGAAACGGAGTCAATTAGGTGAAGTAATTCAACAACACAAATCGTAGTCCCTTCATGGTATAGCTTGAGTCTTTGACCATTTACCTTGAATTCATTACCATGTTCATCGTATAATTCTACAGAACCGAGTTTATTTGCCCTTTTCACAGTAAAAAGACCTTACCATCTTGACCTCTACTTTCCTGGGAAAAGTTTAAGTCTAGAGTTGAACAATAAAACTTTGTCACCCTCTTTTAACTCTCTTGGAAGGATCATCTTGTCCTGCCATCTCTTAGTCTTCTCCTTCAGACGTGTGCACTATCATAGGCCATCAACCTAAACTCATCTAATTGATTAAGTTGTAGGAGCCTCTTTTCTCTCGCTAGTTTAGCATCCAAATTGAGCTCTTTAATAGCCCAATATGCTTTCTACTCTAATTCCACTGGAAGGTGACATGATTTACCATACAAAAGTCTATAGGATGAAGTACTAATAAGGGTCTTAAAAGTGGTTCTATAAGCCCAAAGGGTGTCATCCAACTTATTACTATAATCTTTCCTAGATTTTGCTACCACCTTCTCTAGGATGGTCTTGATTTCACGGTTAGAAACTTCAACTTGGCCACTAGTTTTGGGATGGTAGGCTAAACCTGTCCTATGGTATGCACCATACTTCTTGAGAAGGGTATTTAACTTCCGCTCATTAAGGTGATATCCTCCATCACTAATTATCGCTCTAGGTACTCCAAATCTGGGAAAGATGGTTTTCTTAAAAAGCCTATGGACCACCTTAGCATCATTGATAGTTGTAGCAATGGCTTAAACCCACTAGGATACAAAATCAAACGGCGACAAGTATATATCGATTCCCCTATGAAGAAGGAAAAGGTCCCATGTAACTAACACCCCAAAAATCGAAAATTTCAACTTTCAATATACCTGTTTGAGGCATCTCATGCCGCCGCGAGATGTTGATATTCCTTTGGCAAGAGTCACAAGCCTGCACAAAAGAATTAGCATCCTTGAACATGGTAGGCCAGTAGAATCCTGAATCATTGATCTTATAAACTGTTTTGGTGGGACCATGATGTCCTCTATACGGTGAGTTGTGGCATCTCGTAAGTACATCGTGAACTTCCCTTTCAGGAACACACCTGTGTAATAATCCATCTACACACTCACAAAACAAAAAAGGATCATCCCAAAAATAATGTTTAACATCATAAAGGAATTTCTTTTTCTGTTGGTTTGGCACAACGTTCTCTGCACCTTTATTGTCCTTTATTTCCACATCAAAGTATTGGAGCAAGAGAACCCAACGGAGGAGCCTAGGCTTTGATCCTGCCTTGGCTATTAAATATTTCAAAGCTGCATGGTCAGTAAAAATAATAACTTTAAAACCAACTAGATATTATCTTAATTTTTCTAAAGCATAAATCACAGCAAGAAACCCCTTTTTCGTAGTGGCATAGTTGACTTGGGCTTCATCCAAAGTTTTTCTTGCATAGTAAGTAGCATGCAAAACTTTGTTCTTTCTCTATTCTAGCATGACTCCTAATGCAAAATCACTGGCATCACACATGATCTCGAAAGAAAGATCCCAATTGGGAGCACATATGATAGGTGCCAATAACAAAGCCTGCTTGATCCTGTTAAAAGCCTCAAGACACTCATTAGTAATCCTTGTGTAAAATATGATTTAGTGGTTTTTAGAAAAACTTTGATAAACCGATGATAAAACCCCGCATAACCTAACCGATGATAAAACCCCGCATGATCTAAGAAACTTCTAACCCCCTTAACATTAACTACAGGAGCTGATTTCTCAATCATAGAAACTCTAGCTTTATCTACGTGTACACCATTATCAGATACAATATGAACAAGAACTACTCCCTCAGTCACCATAAAGTGACACTTTTCCCAATTTATTACCAAATTGCATTCTTCACATCTTTTAAAAATTTTAGTGAGATTAACTAAATATGCATCAAATGATGACCATACGCACTAAAATCATCCATAAAGACTTCCATGATAGACTCTATGAAATCAGAAAAGATACTCATCGTCAAACGTTGAAAGGTGGAAGGGGCATTACTGTAGACACCCAAATGTGTCTCCCAAAAACAATACCTAGTGATGAATACCTTTTCACGTCTCTTGATTATCGAATGAGGTGAAAGTGTGAAAGGTCTTATGATGTGTTTGTTTTAATAAAAATCTTTCTTTCTCTTTTAAAAAAGAACTCTATTTTATAAAAATATTCAGTCCAATTTATCTTGGTCCATGTTAAGGGTTCAATAATAATGTAGTTAGATTGGGCTCGTAAAGAGCTTTTCAATGACATTCTATAAGCCTAATTCTGATGAATAATGAGGAAGTTATGGTCCAAATACTAATTTGAGTCTGAAATGGTTTTATGGCCTATTAAATATTATTCCTAAAATTCTTAGGATTGATTATAGTCTTCTAGAACAGTCTAGAAGGTTATTTTGAGTTCTAATGTCATTAGGATTGATAATTAATGTTTTAGAAAAATAATGAATTTGGTTTGATATAAAACAAGTGTTTTATTATGATAAGTCTGACTTAAAATTGACAAAACAAAGTTTTTATCGCTTAATAATATTAAGAAAAGTATTCCGTACAAAAGCGCGTTTATCTTTTAAGCTGTCGCGTAATGACAAGCATGTCGCTAAACGACAGGGCTTGTCGCCATGCGTGATTCCTGATTTGTTTATATCAATTTCGGACAGGCATCAATTTTGTTCAGTTTCAAATTCTGATTTGTTTATATCGATTTCGGACTATTTTCTTATAAATAGGGGTCGTATCGCCCCGTTTTTATTCATCAACAATTCACAATCATTTATTTCTATTCTTCTCTCTTTAAGCTAGAAGTTTTTTCTCTCTCTATTCTTTTTCTAAACCTCCCCTCTTACAAAATTCCACATTCACAAGTTCAAGACACACCTAGCCAAGTTCGAAGTTGCCTTTGCCCTAGACGTGAAAGGTTGATAATTTCTGAGGGTTTGGTCCCAAATCTCTATTTCAATTATTTAAATTAATTGTTTGATTTATTATTTTCCTTGAAGTTACTAACGTGTGTATTTTGTTATTAGAAAGAGATACGAGGCATCCAAGTAAGTAATTTCTCTAGTTGCTCTTTTGATATAGAAATCATGATTAGATTATTTTATTAATTCCTATTATCATGTTAGGATGTTTTATTGTTTCCTAGTATCATGTTAGGGTAATAACTAAAGATTTCTAATATCATGTATGTTTCTATGGGATGATTCCTATTCTTTCCTTCTATCATGTTAGTATCATGTTAGGAATAAAGCTTTGATTCTTTATTTTTTAGTGACATGCTAGGATTTGTTATTAATCTTGTTAGTATCATGCCTAGGATCTTGCTATTATTATTATGCTTTGAGAATATTATTATTTTGATGATGATTGTTGTTATGTTGCTTGATAATATTATTGGTATTGCTTGATCATGCCTTTTATGCATGTTTAAAGGGAATTTGTACTTGTAATCACGCTTAACAAGATAATTAATAATCTTTTTCAGGCTAATATGATTATAATTCAAGTGATCGCCAATAATAGTTTTGTTTGTGCATTAATATTCAACCAACATAGATTAAACAGGCTTAGGATTAATATATTGATTGCATGTTAGTCAGAAAGTGGGCATGAATATGAGAAGAATAAAGTAAAATCCTATTATTTGGGCAGGTTCAATCTCTTTTAGGTTGGATTTGTACCTTCATCCCCGAATATGCAGTCATGGTTCCAGACCACTATGGAGTTAGAGATCTCATGGATCGTGAAAAGGGTGTAACCTTCAACCTTTGAACGTTTTACAAGTTCCTAAAAATTGTTTGCGACTCTTTTACTCTAGCTTCCTTCCCTTTGGACACCACCATGCTTAAATGTATGATCACAGTGGGGCTCAAGTGTGGGATGCTAGAAATATTCCCTACAATTACACAAACCAAAGGGCATTCTACGATAAGCAAAAGTGCCATAAGGGCATGTAAATGTAGTCTTTTCTTGATCTATAGGGAGAATTGGAATTTGGAAAAATCCCGATACCAATCAAAATAGCAAAAGAATGTATGATTAGCTAACTTCTCAAGAATTTGATCAATAAAGGGGAAAGGGAAATGATCTTTCTTAGTGGCGATATTTAATCTACAATAATCAATGCACATACTCCATCATGTAACAGTTCTAGTGGGAATTAATTCATTTTTATTATTTTTTATAACAGCCATCCTACCCTTTTTAGGAACCACCTGAACAGGACTTACCCTCTTTGAGACGGAAATATGATAGATAATACTAGCATCAAGTAATTTCATAACCTTTTTCTTGACTACTTCTTGCATATTGGGGCTTAACCTTCTATGGGGTTGAATGCGTTGCTTATAGTTGTCCTCTAAGTGTATCTTGTGCACACAAATATCGGGGCTAATACCCATGATATCATCAATATTGTACCCTATTGCCCTTTTGTAGGTTCGAAGAACCTCTAGAAGTTGGGAAGTTTGTGGGTCATCAAGTGTAGTACTAATGATCACAGGGTATAGTTCCTACTCATCAAGAAAAACATATTTTAAATGAGAAGGGAGAGGTCTTAGTTCAGGTTTCTTGACCTCTGTAGGTTTTGATTCCTGAACTAATTTTACTACCTTCTTGCTCTCTATAGGATTAAGTTCTTCAATTGCGAGAGCTTATTCTATGGCGTCCACCTCTGTACTCTAAACACTCGTATCACTTGTGTTGGGGTTTGGTGAGTCAGAATCACCGCGGAAACAACCCCGACCCAAGGAACCACTCGTAATTAATAAAACCATAAAGCATAAATAAATAAGCACAAGAAAAGGAAGAACAAATCATACCCTTGAAGCGAGCTTCGCCCTCTCAAAACGGGCTCTTACTTGAAAGCCTTGAGTACCGCAAATGCCGAGCCACCAACGGTATCCACCCACAAAGGACGAACACGACTTTTTAGGTCCGCTACTTTGGAGTTAGCAAGGTCCGACCAAAACCCAAGTGTTAATGAAGTTTAAGAGTTTATCCCAAAATATGGAATGCTCTTTCTAACTCCCACTCAAGCAAAGAATTCTCAATCCATGCCATGACTATTTATAAGGAAGTATGCTTTGTGAATTCCACTCATCTTTCAATGTGAGACTTTTCACAAAAAGATCCCACATGGAAAGATTGGTGAATTCAACCCTTAGTTAAATAAACCAAGGAACAAGTAACAAGTGTCACATGGTTAGGAGTGGACCACTTTCTCACTTGGTCCCCAAGGCATTTCACATGCAATGTGAACTAACCATGTGTCACCAAACCTTGAGCCCCAAGTTGGGTTCGGTTGGGCCATTTTATTTTGGCCCGTGACCCTTCACCCCGGGTCCACGACCCCTTGCCACTTGTGACGCCACCGTGGCGCACCGCCACCATGGCGCGCTGCCACGTGGCATGCTGCCTACGTGGCACACTGCCACGTGGCGGCTGCAAACGCGGCTGCCATGCGTGCGGCCACGTGTGCTGCCACATGGCGTTTTGCCACGTGTGCTGCCACGTGGCACGCTCCTATTGGGCACGCTTTCCTTGTTACTTGAAGCATTTTCCCGTCTCGTCAAATCCTAAATTTTGGCTCGACATTTGAGATTCTCCGACGCTCGGTTTCGACGCTCCAAGCTTGAATTTCTGACGTCTAAATATTTAATACTCGGGCGACGAATTAATTTCTTCCGAATTAATTCGTCGAGTCGGTTCGTATATTTTGCTTGGGTGTGACCCGAAGGGTTTAGTCAAGATTAAGCTGTAATATTAATTATATTAATATTACTGATCGGAAGCGGCCTCCACCCAGGCATTCCGATTACTTGACCTTATTGAATGTATTAGCTTTCTAATAATTCTGAACCCGCTATCAGAATAATACACTTGTTCGAAGGACACCATTCCTTTCAATCTCCCACTTGTCCTTCCGGACAAGTGTGCATTTATCGTATAACCCCTTTCCTATGTCTCTTCATGAACTACAGAGTAAGATTACTCGTCATCTCTGTTACGTCTAGAAGTGTTTCTCAAAATCCGAGTTTGACTGTCAATAAGTAGATGATTTCTAAAATCCATCTGAGCATGACCATGCATTTTCACAGTTTCACTCTTCGAGAGGCCTTGTAAACAACAAGATTGTTCCCTATTGTTAGTAGGGGGACATTTCCAGTCTTGTAATGTAGCTTCTCTTACTAAGAGGACCTAGCCGCCCGATATCTGTCGTTATAATCTCCGGTTATGGTAGACGTTTGGCGGATACCAAAGCGGACTAGTACTCAAACAAGAGACCTTCCACTACTCTTGGACAAGGAAAAGAGTTCCGATAGTAATAATGAGAAAAATACTTATGACAATTTTTAAATCTCTTAAAGTATTCTCATAGGTTGATCCAGTATGGTTCTAAACCAATACCTGTGCAAATGATTTATATCCTTATAGCACAAGAAACGGTGCTATAAATCATACTACACACTAATCTCTAACGGTCATTAATCGTCCACAAATATATGACCTTGATTAGGGATAATTTTCGATTAAAATATTCAATGTTCACTTAATAGGTGTTTCTTTATCCAAGCCATTGACTTGATACCCTATTTTGAATATTTATTAAAATCGAATGGACTCATTATTTAATTCTAAACCACAATTAAATAGTTTTGTGGAATATTTAGAAATATTTTATTCCACTATGAAGCTTCATAATGTTTCATATTATGATAAATAATTTTTCCAAAATGTTTTAAGAGTAGTACTCTTCATAAAACATTCATAGAAATCACACTCATATTTGATATGCTTGATTTCTTTCA